TTATCATTAGTCAACTTTATTTTATGTGATCAAATTAAGTAAGCATGTTTGACTACTAAATTAGATGATATGAGTTTAAATGAACAAATTTCATTGTTGGCCTATTGAACAATAATGAAAATCTTAAATTCTAAACCATAAACCTTAAACTCTCATAGGTTAACGCACTATGATCTTCATTATATCATATCACAACCTTACTCCACTCTCTCCATTTGAAGAGAGGCTAAGATCCTGTTAGAAAATTTGAGACCTAAGACAAATTTTATGAGACATATTCTAATATAATTCATCATATTTACTTTATTATTCTAAATTTTTGAACTTAAAATTTAAAATTTGTTAATCAAAGTTTAATAATTAAATAGTTTTAACATCTCATTTAATGGTAATTCATTGAATTATTATCTTGGACCATACTTTATCTCAATTGAATATAAAAAAATTAATTTTGAAATAATCTTTTGACAATAACAATAATTATAAATATTTTTAATACTATTTTATAAATATTACATGCTTATAAAAAATCATATTAATTATATATAATTAAATAGTTTTAAAAATAATTTGTTTTAATATCTTTAATTTAAAAAATAATTTAATATCACTAATATCAAATTAATGCTCACTAAAAATTAAATTTATTTCAGAATTAATATAACTTGTTTAATTTATCCTTTTTTAAATTTTCATTGAATTCACACAAAAAAATCAAAATTAATTTCATATTTTAATATTCAAATAAGTTCTGAGAATAAGAAAATAAGTTGATTTAATAAATATGTAGTTCCATCACTTTCAATTTCATAAAAATATTTTTTTTACAAACCATACTATTTTTATAAAGTTTAATAGCTATATTCGTTTCATTTTAATGTCACTTTTCTTTTAATTCAAAGAAAATATAAACTAATTTTTTCTGTAACTTCACGACAAAATTTTCAATTAATTTATGTAATATTTATGTATATTCATGTTCTTAAATTGTATAATTTTATTAACAAATTAACTACATAATAAAATGTACAATCTAATAATTTAACTTAAAACTATTTTTTAGATAGCGGACTCATTGGCTTTGTCATTGCCTCGTCCTGGCCACAACCTCCTAGTTGTGATGATGATTTATCACTACAATTATTAAACAACATTTTGATCATAGATACAAGTATTTTTCATGTTTTAATAATCAAATTAACTTATAAAATAATTTTATGATTATATATCAATTTATATTAATAAAATAAAATATTAAATAATTTTTAAAACTTTTAAAAAATTATAGACTTGATTTATACATTAAAAATTTTAAATTTAATAATTAAATTGTTAAAATTTAATGTAAAACATGAATTATTAAATAAAATAAGTGTAGATAGATTTATTTTTAAAGTAAACAGATCTCTCCTCTCTTTCGATATATATATATATATATATATATATATATATATATATATATATATATATATATATATATATATATATATATATATATATATATATATATATATATATATATATATGGGATCTGTTTACTCAAAAAAACAAGTCTACCTAGACTTTCTTCGTTTAATAATTCATGTTCAATATCAAATAGTATTCATGCTATATATACAAATAAGAGCCAACAAGTACGTGGCTTCATCAAAATTGAAAACCAACAAAACTTACCTAAGCTCAAGTTTCTTCAATCACGTGATTAAATATCACAGTAGATATTAATCTCCATCGAAAAATCATATAATTGCACTCAAAATAAGTATTATTTTTTAAATATAATTTATTTCGTATTTAATATCAAAATTTAAATCTTAAACAACTGAGTAAGCTATGATATACATCTAGATCTAATACTACTAAGTAGGACATCATTAAATAAAACTAATTAATCATCCAAAAGCTGCATTCGATCGGCACTTTGCAGCTCAAGCTAGCATGATATAAATATTTGAGTGAGTTTAGTTTAATTTCCTGCTCTTTCTTGTATAATTAAAGAGGTGGCAATTAGCATATGCATAATAAAGTAAATGAATCCTAAAAATAAAGTCTGGAAACACGTAAAGCGACGTTAGAGATGAACGGGGTAAGCATAAAGCGACTCCAGAAGAGATGAAGAGTAAAATGTTTGGTCCATATATCCAAAATCCATCGCTATATATATAATAAGCAGTTATGATTATGATTATTATATAAATGGAGACATGCAGGGAGCGAAGGAGCATGCACATGATCACCCCTTCAAGAAACACATTCCACAAAACCTTTAACTTGTTCAAACCAAAGCCATGACCATCGACACGCTCCGTCGGTTCCTTCTGCCGTGCTTCTTCCCCTCGAAGCCGCAACAGCCGCTCCCGTGCGCCGCCGACCAGCAGAAGGGGGCGGCCAAGACACGGCCCTCCTCGCCGGCGTCCTCCACGTCGTCCTCGACGGGGGCCTCGGGGGCGGCGCCGCGGCCCTCAAAGTCGATGGTGATCGGGACCATCTTCGGGAACAGGCGGGGGCACGTGTGGTTCTGCGTGCAGCACGACCGCCTCTCCGCCAAGCCCCTGCTCCTCCTCGAGCTCCCCCTCTCCACCGACCACCTCGTCCGCGAAATGCGCAACGGCCTCGTCCGCATCGCCCTCGAGTGCGCCGCCGCCGCCGCCCCCTGCCCCCTCCGCCGCGTCCCCCTCTGGACCGCCTTCTGCAACGGCAAGAAGACCGGCT